CAGGTGGTCTTTCTGCGATAAACTGTGTCTTCCTTGTTCTTATATCAAAGTTGCTATGCATCTGGAAGGTACCTGGCACTCAAACCACACACCATCTGGCCGGGGTGATCAGCGTGGTTTGTTTTGCCATGGTAGAGCTATCTTGAGCAACATTGCATCTTTATGTGCCCATGACTTGTAATTTGGCAGTGTTCAGCACATGGACCTGAAGTCATCTGCTGGCATTCTCCCACAAGACGGAACCTGGAAGCTCATTAGTGCCTGTTTTCCCAGCACCTCCATCTGTCTCCTTAGTTTTCAGTTCCAGTGTCTGTGGTGGCTACAAACCTACTTCTTCCTGCATTTAACCCTTCCTTCTCCACAGGAAGACTGAAAGGCAGAGAAGAGCCCCGGACTAGGAGTCAGAAGCCCTGTGTTCTGAACCCAGCTCTACCACTTACCTACTATGGGGTCTTGGGCCAGACCTTCATCTCTCTGGGTTCAGTCTCCCTACTCCTAAAACTAGGATCTCTGTTAGCATGGCATCTAATGGCCCTTTCTGTCCAACATTATGAAAGCTCAAGATGAAAGCTAGTCTTAAGGTTGCCATAATCTAGATCTTCTAGAATATGGTCCTTTCAACCACCTCGTGCAACCTCTCTTTCTATCTCTCTCCTCTGTGTGAAACTAGCCAGGAGGCTTTTTTTAGCACATCTTTCTCTTCAGCCTCTCGAACAAAACCACAGAACATTCCATGATCCTTCTAGAAGAGGCTAAAGCTTGGAAAGACGATTTTATAATCGTCTTTCAGATGCATCTGAAGGCTTTGGTGCTCAGGGGAGTTCATGAAGTGCTTGGGTTATCTGAAAGATTGACTGCCCCAAAGAAGGAGTATGGAGCCCTGGTCTCTGGCCCTGCCTCTCTAACTCTCTGGATGAACTGGCACAAGGCTGCCATAGGGGCAACATTGAGGAGCACATGAGTTATGTGTTTACCAAGCCTGAGCCAGGTGATCTCAGGGAACTTTCGTTTCTCCGAACTATTCAAATCCTTACAGAATCAGGCTATTCATGTTGTAGATTGTCCTTGGAGCTAAAATGTTCTGCTCCACTACTGCAGGTGTCTGATAACCTGAATGTGTGAAGACACAGTCTCCTACCTCGGGTAATGCAACATGCCCACAAAGACAGATAGCTGGAGCTGGGACTGACACCCTGTCCCAAACCTTCCCACCCTGACCACCAGCAGGTCTGGTAGTGAATGGCTGAGTCTGCACAGTCTGCTGAAATAGGCTAGTTAGGCCCTTATAGATAGGTCATGAAATCCACTGATCTTCATCTATTAGCTTGGTGCAGAAGTAATTGTGGTTTTTGTTATTACTTTTGATGCCAAAAACCACAGTTACTTTTGCACCATCCTAATAGGGACATTAGAGACCAGGGAGGAGCAATCCCAGGATTCTAACTCTCAGGCCATCAACTCAGCTGTGACTTGCAGACAGTTCTCATTTCCCCCACTCTGATGCTCTGTTCTTCAAACTAAACCTCTCCAGACATCACCTTTTCTCCCTCTGCTCCCAACCTTCAAAATTCCAGGGACATTGTAGGATTTCAGCTGCTTGTAATGCCACTATTTATTTTTTTCTGTCTTCATAACCAAAAAAGAAAGTTATATCATAGACTCACAGGGTGATGAGAAGACTCAGGCCACGTGGCTGATGACCCATGAAATGTTCATCTAACTGTTTATAAGAGCCTCATGACCTCCAAAGCAGCCCACCTCTTTTTTGAGCAGGACTGACTGGTCAACTATGTGAGCTGCTGGTGCTGTGACTCACAGTGTGACTAGGTGTTTTGAGTATAGGTCTTTCCATTGCTGCATCTGAGAAATGGGGATTACAGCAGTGTTAGCCAGTAGCTGAGGGCTTCATCTCCTTCGGTGACCACCTGGAGGATTAGTGCTCGGGGCCCCATGGTGTGCCGACAGCCTCCTCAAGCATTAAAGGACAGAGGCTGTGCCCTCCTCTGGGGTCTTCTCCAAGTTCAACAGCCCGTTTCCTCAATAGCTCCTCTAGTGTCCTTCTCTTAGCCCCTTTCTGAATCATCATTTTTAAAGGGGCTGCCTGTGTTTTTTCCTTTAGCTAGAAACCATCTAAATGATTTTTAAAGAAAAACTAAAATATATCATGCCATTTGACTTCAGGAAATGCAAATATTTCAAAATAAGTTTTTTTTTTGGTTTTTTTTTTTCCATCCTCGGGTTTCTCAGAATTACAACTGAGGTTACCCCGCTAAACATTTGAAGACCAAAGGGAAAAAAACAACAAAAGAACGAGCATGTGTAAGAGGCAAGCCTGGGCTTGCACTTCTCCAGCCACCTCTTCACAGAGGCTCACCTGCCGGAAGGGGTAAGGGGCACAGTGTGAGGGGGCATTGGGCCAATGAGCAGAGCCTGTCCTTGTTGTTGTATGGCTCAAGCTGGCCTCAGCTCAGGGCTTGAATCTTATCTTCCCATCTCTGCAAAGCCAGTGGGAGAATGAGGCCCTGTGTTATTCCAGCCCTCAGGCAAAAGTCAAGCCAAGCATCCTCATTCACCTTGCTGTTGCCCTAAGTATTTATTTGGTATCCACAGAGGGAAACAAGAAAGAGGAACTAGATGATCCAATTCAACAAACATTTACAGAGCATCTGCTAGGCTGGGCAGTGGGGGGTATATAAACAGGAGTCTCTGGCCTGAAGTTTCATAGTCTAATAGAAGAGGCAAATAGGCAGAGTCAGAGAAGGTATCCTGAAGGTGATGACTGCTAGGCTGTTTCAAAGGAGGAATAACTTGCCTGTTGCAGTGGGAAAGTCCAGGTAGAGAGCCCAGCAATTGCCAAGGTGTAATGATAAATCGACATGCCTAAATGGTACGTTTAGAGGGGACTGCAAAGCCCCAAACTCCAGGACAGCGGTCAACAATCCACTTGGGCAGCATCAGACAGCCTGAGTTTGAATCTCTACTCCACCCCAGACTACCTGTGTGAATGTGAACAACCCTCTTAACCTTTAAAAGGGTTCGTTTTCTTATGTACAAAATAGAAATAATCATAGAACCTCTCTCATGGTGTGGTTGTGAGAATTAAACAAAATAATCCATGTAACATGCTCAGCAGAGTACCTGGAAAATGGCTGACTCAACATGCATTAGTTATTGTCATTCATATCATTATCACTGCTCCTCCTCCTCCGATTGTTATTACTGTTGGAACATAAAGGGAAAGGGGAGGAGAGAAGGTGAGGGGTGAGACCAGAGAGTTGAGTAGGAGTCAGAACACTGGGGACCATGAATGCCAGGCTGAGGAGCTTGGGCCTGATCCTGCAGGCAAAGGGAGTCAGAAAGGGCTTCCATGCAAACAGACTTAGCCAGATCTGTCTCCCTGACTTGATGTTCTACAGCTTAGTGTCAGAGGTTAGGCCAGGAAACTGGCCTCTCTAGCCATAGTCACAATCCCTTAGGAGCAAAAGCAGCCATCAGTGTTACGGTTCTGACTACACACCCCAAGAGTGTGGGCCATGGGCTGCAACAGGAAGGACCAGAGCACCAGTCAGAGGATACATGAGGATGAAACCAAGAGAATGACAGCTGACCCACTGGCCCTCCCCACCAAGAGAGCTTTGGACCAGAAGCTCTATGTGGATGCAGCAGATAAGGAGGAAAACTGCCCCCTGCGTCTGCTGGGGGTGCCCCTCGCAGTGAGCTTGTTCAGACAGGAGAGGGAACTCTTCATTTAACTTTCAACCACTCCAAAGCCCCCATGAAGCTAGGAGGTTGACCAGGAGGGACTTTATCAGGGCTGGGCAGAGATTGCAATGGGAAAGGTTGTGAGCGCAATAGGCACTACTCCGAGATGCAGTGAGCAAACATCCCAGGGTGTGGCCGCTCCATTGAATGGGCCGTTGGTTGCCTAGGCTCTGATGGATAGACTGAATGGTCATCTCTGGTGACATCTTTGAAAAGATGTCCATGTCAGGTGAAAGATTGCCCAGTTTTACACCAGGAGAATCCAAGGATCAAAGAAGAGATTTGCTCTGAATAAGCTGAATTCATGAGTCATTGCAGGAAATGTATAACTTGAATCTTTGCATACGGAATATTAAGTAGTTACTATAATAAGAAAAAGCTAAGCCACCATCACTAGTGAATATATGAAAAATATTTTAGTTTCTTAAATACAATAATGACATAATGTTATGTTGCCTCTGCCAAGGAAGCTCCAGATAGTAGGACTTCTGCTAAGATTTATTTAATCCTGTGTCCTCTTAAAATTGAACATAAAGATGTTTCTATCTTCCGTTGTCTAGCAAAATAGCCTAGAACAAGGATCCTGGTCTCTGGAATTAGTCATGGGCAATTCCAGCATTTATGCAAATTTGCCTGACCTTAAGTGATGATATTGACCATCTCTAGGCATCAAAGTTAATCCTGTAGGATTAGTCTGAGAAGTAGATTAGCTGATATATTACCCAGCTGTAAAAGTATCCAGCCTAGTTTCTGGTGTGTGGTAGGTAAGATGGCAGTATTTACTATCAGTGTTATCATTCTCGTTACCACTGCCTGGCAAGGTGACATGAAACAATGTATTTCACCTGCCTGGTCCCTAAGAATTTTTCCCATTTGTGAAAGGGGCTTAATAATACCTTTCTCATAGAGTTGCTGCAAAGATTAAGGAGATGAAATAGGTATAGTGGCAAAAATGGCACCTGACACATTATAGGAATGCATGTCATATTTGTTTTCTTCCCTGACTTCCACAGTTTTCCATTAAAGCCCAAGTGGAAGCAATCAATAAAAATAAATTTAAAAAATTAAAATCCTAAAACACCTGATGCCAAAATGAGAAATAAAGAGGTTTTCTCTTGATTCTCAAAATGGAAGCAGAATGGTAATTATCTCCATCAAAGGATCATAGAAAAAGATCTGATATCATCAGATCCCAGAACAGCAAACAATGTTTTAATGCATTGTCTCCTTATTTTTAGGAAATTGCTCAGAAGACCTCTTATGTATCCTGAAAAGGGCTCCATTCAAGAAGTCATGGGCCTACCTCCAAGGTCAGTAACCAAACCCAGGAAACCTAAACATATGAAAACTACCTCTGTGGCTTTTCAACAACTGCTAAGCCAGGAGTCACAGTTAGAGTTCCAGGGCCAAATGTGACCTGTAGATATGTACTGTTTAGTAAACAAGATATATATATATATTTTTATTTGAATTTGAATGTCGTAGTGGGGAGAGTGTTTTTCTCCAAAGCTACAAGGCGTCTCTTTCTTCAGCCCCATTCACGCTTTTACGTATCCTACCTGGCCTCTGAGGGTGTTCATGGTCCCCGCCACCACTGCCACCACCAGCCCCACCCCTCACCTCTCCTTATTCAGCTACCTACCAGTTTCAGCAAAGTATACAGTCCTTTTCCTAATGCAAGGGAGGCAGGCACTTAATCTTTGCCTCTATGAAGTTATTCACAAGGGATCCACAAAATTGCCTTGTCCCCAGATTGACAGCTTAATGAACATGTCAGCAAAGGCCCAATTTGCATATTGCAGTGTGCTTCAGGTAAGAGGTCCCTTACAAATGAAGCACTAAGGGGCACTTTAGACTGCAGAAGAATGAGCTACAGAGATGGCCAAGATTCTCTGAATGGCCATCCTGCTCATTTAAAAAATTCAATTTTGCAGTTAGATTAGTTCTCACTCTTCAGTTGAATTGCAACAAGGTTTAAAGGGAAAGCATGGAAGCAATTCAAACCCATGCCAGCTTCCCAGCTCTGAAAGTCACCCCTACCAGTCAGTGCTGATTTTCACGTTAGGACTCAGAGACTCACCTTCCAGCACAAACCTGTCAGCTTAGAGGGCCTGCTAATTCTCTGCTTTTCAATAAATCCCGGATGGCAAGAGCCCTGTAATAGGCACATGAGGGACCTATGCAATTATGTTTGGCTTCCCATTGAAAGGAGACATTCAAAAATTCAGACAATGAACAGTTAGAGGATACATCTTAATGTGAAAATTAATTGCAATTCTCCTGGACATCATCACACCTAAATTGGTTATTAACTGAATAATATTACTGAATATCTTACCTTGTACTTTCTGCAATGCCTATCAAACTCAATATTTTTGAATTTCTTATCCCTGATACCCTCTGCAATGCCCATTCATGATAAATGAACATGATAGTTCTGACCTTGTAGAGAACAGTCCAGGAGTTTATAATCTGAAAGGAAAAGATCATCACCATCATCATAGGATAATATAATATGATAATGGTTCCGTGGAAAACCATCCTGTAAGAGGTAGAAGTAAAGTACCATGTGTGTTCTGACCCTCCAGCTTTGAGCATTGGAGAAAAGGAAGAGGGGCGGTTTTATACCTGTGCCTTGAATAATAAGTAGACTCTAGAGGGAGTAACATGGAGGATATTCAGATGATTGAAATGTTACAGAAAACATGGGTCTCGAATGGAGAACTTTGAATGAAGACTTAGAATTTTCCAATGTGTACCTACAATCTTCTCAATAATTCTGTTTTTTATACTTTTCTAGTCGCAAAGCATCTAAACCAAACCAAGTTGTCTTGGAACAAAGATGGCGTTGTCCATGGAGTCAGATATCAGGACGGGAATCTGGTGGTCCAGATCCCTGGTTGGTACGTCATCATTTGCCAAATGCAGTTTCTTGTACAATGCCCAAATAATTCTGTTGACCTGAAGTTGGAGCTTCTCATCAACAAGCAGATCAAAAAACAGGCCCTGATGACAGTGTGTGAGTCTGGAATCCAAAACAAAAGTGTATACCAGAATCTCTCTCAATTCTTGCTGGATTACCTGCTGGTCAATACCACCATATCAGTCAATGTGGATACATTCCAGTACATAGACACAAGCACCTTTCCTCTTGAGAATGTGTTGTCCATCTTCTTATACAGTAGTTCAGACTGAACAGTTTCTCTTGGCCTTCAGGAAGAAAGTGCCTCTCTACCATACAGTATCTCATCCATCCAAACACTTGGGCAAAAAGAAAACTTTAGACCAAGACAAACTACACAGGGTATTAAATAGTATACTGTCTCTTGGGAAGAGACAGCTCCCGGGTTAAAAAGAGAGTTTTGAGTGAAGTATCTTTCAGATAGCAGTCAGGGAAGCAATGTAGTGTGGTGGGCAGAGCTCCACATGGGAATCAGAATGGATGAATGGATGTCTCAGCCCAACCACCAATTCACTGTATGGTCTTGATCTATTTCTTCTGTTTTGAGAGCCTCCAGATAAAATGGGGCTCCAGTACCAGAGCGGCTAGCAACCGTGCCCTAATGGGAAATGAAGGGGAGCTTGGTGTGAGTGTTTACAGTGTACCCTTCACGGGATACTTCCTTTATCTGCAGATGGCCTAATGCTTAATTGTCCAACTTGTGATCAAGGACTCTCTCACACAGGAAACTTCTCTATACTGGCAGATACGCTTGTGACTTGTGTCTGAACCGTGCCCAGTTTATTCCTGTCTGGCCATCACTTTGGCACTAGGAGCCTGACCTTGTGTTCCACACAACCCCGCCCTTAGGAACCTCCAGGGAAAACCATGCCTGAGGCAGCCCCTCATTCTTGAGATGGAAAGCACAAATTTAATACACCACCACAATGGAAAACAAGTTCAAAGACTTTTACTTATAGATCCTGGACAGAGAGGCCATAATGAGTCTGAAGGGCAGTCATCCTTCTCTGGGTTACATGAGGCAGGAATGAGGAGTCAGACATTGAGAGCAAGCCAATTAACAACCTAGGTAAATAAATAGGGTGTGATCACTCTCAATTCACTGGCAAATGCTTGAGAGGTCGGTTTGACGGATGCAACAGAACAGTGGGAAATCTAGTCTGCTAGACAAGAGAGAGATGCCTCTCAGTTCTTGTCTCTGGCCAGAGGTGTGGCATAGAACTGGAAAACCCTACCAAGGGTGACTAAGCCCAGCTTCTGGTATGAGAACATTAAGCTTGTATGCAAAATGGATGCCAAAGCAACATAAAATTATAAGAATTCACCATACTTTCCCCTCCCTGGAACCCAGGATCCAAGTCTAGCAAATGAAAGGACTGGGTTTGAATTGCTTCAAAACCTTTTCTATCTCAGAAGAGCAGACCCTTTGAACTGAGATTCCAGATGCAATTTTGGAAGCTCTCCAACCAAAATAAGGCCCCCCTACCACAGTATACCATTGAAGACACTAGTACTGATCTGACCTCATCTCAGCAGAGCCAGAATATGGGGGACAAGGTTCAGGGTGCCTTGCTTAATGGTATGAACTGCAGGATCTAAAGGATGTAATGGAAAGGACTATTTCAGGGTTTTTTCTTTTCTACCATGACCCAGAAGAAATGTCATGTTGCCAACGAGGACTAAAAAAAAAAAAAAAAAAAAAAAAAAAAAAAAAAAAAAAACTTACTGTTGACCACCTGAATCTAAGAGACTGAGCATCCAGAATCTAAGAGACCGTCTGGGTGTTTGGGAAGCCACCTGACGAGGCCTGACTCTATATCAATTAGACTGACAATAATTGAGCAGCAGGCGCTTTTCATTTCCTGCCAGGAAGGTATTGTGCCTTTAGCAAACAATCAGTGTGTAATAGTGATGTGGTCATCTAGCCAGGGAATGGCTGCTCCATCTCCTGCATGATATATTCCTGCTTCAAACACCTCTCAGAAAACCAGTTCCGTGGAGAGCTTTTGAATTCCCACAAAGTTGTTGACAGACAATTATGACCCCGAAAGTGGGGAGGACTTCTGAGAAACAGCAACCTCCTCTCCTGCTTGGGATAGCCACATGGGATTTCTCTAGTTGTGTCCAACTTGGCATCCGCACATCACCTTTGGAGGAGCACCTTGACAAGCCATTTGAGATGGAAGGTAGGCCCTGAGGCTATGCTTCAGTAAGAAAAGATGGAAGCTTCCCTGCCAGACCAAAATATGGAGCAAAATTTGCATTTTTCTCAAGAAGGAGAGAAAAGGAGTAGGAATCCAGCAAAGTTTGTCAGAAAAAAAGCTAGAAAAGATTTAAAAGAAAAAAAGAAAGAAAAAATCAGCAGTGGTGGTATGGATGAGAGGGACCTGAGAGAACAAAAATGGCTAAGGGAAAATTTTAAGTCATCTGCTGAGCAGTATGCTATGTCAACCTTCTCCTAAGTCTCCTCTATGACATATTCAGTAAAGTCTACATTTCTCTTTAACTCTTTCTGTGAGTAGATTCTTTGGGAGAAGCAGAAATTGGAAAAGGTGTTGAATTCAGCAAGCCAAGTGGTCTGTGGTAAAAACAGACTTTGAGACTCAAAGCTAAAAAAAAAAAAAAAACAGGGAAACATCTGGCATTTGAGTTACACATTAAATGCATAGGACAAATGAATCTTGCTTAGACCAACTCATGTATACTTGAAAAGGTATATATATGCAACCCACTGTGGATTAACTAAGCAAATTTTCTGCCATCTCACATTCTAACTCGAGAAAGATTCCATTTTCATTTTTCACCAACTGTCCTCTGAGGAGAGGTACCTGACTTTTGCACTGTGAGTGGTTCGTAATTTCAGTGTCTGTCAAGCAATGCTCAGAAAGCCAACACCTACAGACGCAAGAGGTACATCATTTAAATGAATAATGTAACCAAACCAAGAAAATGAGAGAGAATAATCATTAATAACTCAACTGATAGATACATAGGGAGTGGGCAACCCAGGAAGTTTAAAACTAAATTCTCTTACTCTTGAGGGTTAACCAGCCCTGGGAATGTTACGAATGAATGATACTATGCTAGTAAAATGATATCTATACAAGTGAAATAAATAATTTATCTAACTGAGAACCCAGGCTACCTAAAACATATGCCTCTTTGGTAAAAACCCAACTTGAGTGCCTTCCCTTCCTCCTACCCTCCGAACCCTGCCTCCCCACCACACACACACACTCAGTGTATTCGCACAACTTTTAGAGGAAGATGATGAGTGAGTCGATGAAAAATAACAAGTCAAGGTGGAGTTGCCCTGACTGAAGTGCAGTAGTGTGATCTTGGCTCACTGCAGCCTCCCCTTCCTGGGTTCAAGTGATCCTCCTACCTCAGCCTCCTGAGTAGCTGGCACTACAGGTAGGCACCACCACACCTGGCTGATTTTTGTATTTTTAGTAAAGAAAGGATTTCACCATGTTGGCCAGGCTAGTCTCGAACTCCTGGCCTCAAGCAATCTGCCCGCCTTGGCCTGTCAAAGTGCTGGGATTATGGGCGTGAGCCACCACACCTGGCTCCTCACCCTTTTCAGAATCACATATTGACTATACATTGAGTCTGTAGAGGAGAGAGACCACCTGTGCCTCATGTTCAAATCACCACCCTGGAGTGACAGGGGTGAGGGCAGGGAAGAGCAGAGGAAAGCGCTGAATGTGAAAGACTGTCCAACATAAGGCTGGAAAGACATGACCTGAGAAATTACGGAAAGGCTACAGGAGGGCCTATCAAGGCTGGTGGGAAATAATGGAGATTGGAGTAGGAAACTGGGTTGAAACTCCAGCTCTCTCACTAACCACACTTGAGGACTTTCCAAGTATCTGCTCCCTGCTGGGCTTCCAACCAATGGGACTTCCGTCAAGCCTGGCAGATCTCTCAGGAGTGTTCCGGAGATGATACTGGCTGACTTCCCCATCCTCTTAATTGAAGGAGTTTGTCCCTTCTATCCCAGAATAAGTGGTATTCCTGGGATTCTGGGAGGCTCCCTTGTTTGGTAGATTCTGCCAGGTTCCCTCAGCACTTCTTCCTTTTAGTATTTGTCCACATCAAAACCTCTTAGGCCACAGGGCTATTCTCCAAGCCATCCTTATGTGACTGGGGATTTGGGGAAGGAATTAGATAGTAGAGTCACAGTAGAGTAACTGCTATATATTTAATTGTCTGAATATACTATAGTTTGTCCATTCTCTTATGCAAGAACATTTAATTTGCTTTTAGGTTTTTGCTATTACACACAAAGCTACAATATAAGCACATCTTCTTGCACAGTTCCCACCCCTAGTTGTCATTTTTCTATACAGCAAAAACACTCTTGGAAAATTCTAAATGGTGTCACAAAGATACTTTGTTAACCATGGCTACCAAGGGTTTAGATGGCTCTGTGATCAGAGCTTATGACCTGGAGCTTAGTCTCTGGAATCTGAATGGCTCCCTCCATACTTTTTAAGTACTTCTCTGCTTTGTATATTTATTCAACACACATATCCCGAGTGTCAGTGAGTGCCAGGTCAGTTTACAATCCAACATGGTGTGTGCTATAGCTCTCCCAAGCCACTGCAGAATCAGCCCTCATTAACACAGGTTTGAAACCTGCCTTTCAATGCACTCTGGGGCTTCCCTGGATCTAGCTCTCTTCCTGGAAAGTAAACAAACACCAGAAAGTGTGAAGGACAAGCACAGCTCCAGAAGATTTCTCCCCCAAGATCATATATGTTCATATTCCTCATGGGCTTTTCTCACGGTTCTCTCCTGAAACCCTATAATGGAAGATCGCCACTCAATGTCTAGTATAATGACTTTTCAGGTGTTTTTTGTTTTTGTTTTTTTCCTATCATGACCCAGAAGAAGAAATGTCATGTTGCCAACGAGGACTAAGAAAAAAAAAAAAAAAAAAAAAAAAAAACTTACTGTGACCACTTGAATTGATTTTTATGATGCTCTCATAAATCACAACCCACAGTTTCCAAAACATTGTTCCAGTGTGCCTTCTCCTGCTCCACATGTTGGAATGCTAAAAATATACTTTCTTTATTCCCTTGCAGCTTGGGTTCTAGTATTATCTAGCCTGAAATGGACAGAATTTTGGAATGTTTGTCCATCGACCCAGCAAGCACAGGTTTTTGTTTTTTTCTGCGGCTTCATTTGCAGAGGTTTTAATGTTCAGACACTAGCTTAGTAGTTGAGGTGAGCCTGGGTGGTTGGGGAGAAGCATCCATTCTGCTGATAGAGTCTGTTCCAGATGTACACTGGTTCTGGAGCCCGGCAGCATTAGCGGCTTCCTGATTGTACTGGTTTCCTGTTCACGGCAACAGTTCTGTGGTTCTAGAGGGGCAAGATTCCTGATTGCAAGGTTACTGGAGAGACAGCAGCTATGTTAGCAGCCCAGTTACTAGGAGTCGCATTATAGGTTGCTCCTGAAAGCTCAATCTCAATTCTGTTTCCTCACCTCTCCTGGCAATTCCACAAGCCATTTAATACCCTGTGATAAACCCCTTCCTGCCAAACAAGCTGAAGTGAAGTCTGTTCTCTGCAGCTGATTCCTCATGAATATAATAATAACATGTACAAACTGACCTCACCAATGTTTACAAACCCACCCCACCATACTCATCCTGAACTTAACACTATTCCTACATTCCAAATCTCAAGGACTATTCCAATCTCTGAAGATCCTTCTTCTCACTTCCTACTCAATTAACATCCAATTCCTCCAGTTTCCTAGTTCCAGCCACCACCCAGTGGCATTACTCTGAATACCTCCTAACTCACAGCATTGCCTCCAATCTTACTCCTTATAAATCCCATCTTCAGACAGCAACAGTATCTCCCCATTGTTCTTGGAATTGATAGTGATAATGACCATTTATCAAGCTCTTACATGTTACGTACTTTTCCTGCACTCACTTATTTAATCTTCAAAGCAACCCAATGAAATAGGCATCATTATCTCCATTCTTCAGATAAGGACATTGAGAGTCTGAGACATTGAGTAGCATGGCCAATGTCAGACAGCCAATGGATGGTAGAGTTGGGATTTAAGACCCAGTTTGTCTAACTCCACATCCCATGCTCCAGTCACTACAAACATAGCCTTCCAAAACTCTAAGCTCTTTCCACCAGCTCTCTCCCGATCTCCTGAATGTTTCTGTAGTTTTGTGCTCAGCCCCACCTCCTTGTGCTCTATGCTCAAATCACATTGCACTCTTTCCAGTTCCTCCAATCTTTCATGCTCTGCCTAGCCACCAGGTGCTTGTAGATAATTTTTCTTCTGCCTAGGATACTCCTGTCACACTCTTTCGCCTGATTAACTCCTATCATTGTTCTAATTTCCATTTCAGTGTCACCTCCTCAGAGAAGTCTTCCTGACTCTGCTGGCTTCACATAACGCCTTGCTGTCTACTTCCATACTTCCCCCATCCTTAATTGCATGACACTTTACCCTTCACCCCTCGTTCTCTCTATCTCCAACATTCAAACTCCCAGAAGGCAGGAACCCTATCAATCTTATTCAGCACTGGGTGCTCACAGGCCAGCCCAATTCCTGGGACATAGTAGATGGCCATTCAATAAATATTTCTTAAATGAATAATCAAAGAAAACCACTTTAAACATGAGTTCATTTTAAGAAAAAGATATCAAATAAGCCATGCCCCCCCCCAAAAAAAAGAAAAGAAAAAAGAAAAACAATTATTTTCAAAATATGGAAATATGAATTGAAAGCCTCTATTTTTCTTAGAAATAATTTTTAGCACTCAGGAAATAAGAGTGCCTATTAGGGAAAGTTGAAATTTTTAGAAAGCAGAATCTACCTGTGCCATCTGAAAACATGGAAGGGAAAAAAAAATCTTCACTTACTTTATTGAACCCCTTTTCTGAGCAAGGTGTGGTGTATTTGCTGTACAATCCATTGCCCTTCCTACCTCTGAGATATCTATGTGCTATTCTAGTCATTTTTTGATTAGAAATAAACAGAGTAATCTTAGAAAGTTTTTTGTCATTGTGTTTTGTTTTGTTTTGTTGTTTTGAGACAGAGTCTCACTCTGTCACCCAGGCTGGAGTACAGTGGTGTGATCTTGGCTCACTGCAATCTCTGCCCCCCCAGGTTCAAGCAACTCTTCTTTCTCAGCCTCCCAAGTAGCTGCGACTACAGGCGGGTACCACTATGCCCGGCTAATTTTTGTATTTTTTAGTAGATACAGGTTTTCACCATATTGGCCAGGCTGGTCTCGAATTCCCGACCTCATGATCTGCTTGTCTCAGCCTCCCAAAGTGCTGTGATTACAGATGTGAGTCGCCATGCTGGCATTTTAGGTTTTATAAGTTTTATTTTATTTTTGATTGATAAAAAACTTGTGTGCATATTTAGGTAGCACAACGTGATATTTCAATACATGTATACATTATGCAATAATAAACATATCCCTTTAATGAACATATCCCTTACTTTAACCAGCTATTTCTTTAAGGTAAGAACATTCAAAATCCTCTCTTCTAGATATTTTGAAATATACTAGAAAGTTTAGACCAACCTGCATATATCTTAGAATCCTGAAATTCCAGCCCACTTCCTAGAGCA